CCCCCCGCCTCAGGATCCAGCCCAAAACCCCAGCATGTGCCCTGACTAAGAATCAAACCGTGACCTCCTGGTTCATAGGTCAATGCTCAAACACTGTGCCACACCAGCTGGGCCCAGGGAAACTTATTTCTAACGTGGAATTATATACCCAACCAATTTAACATGAGGCCAAAAATATTTTCAGACTTCTAAGGACACACAGAAAAAAATATTTTTCATTTCTTAGGAAGCTACTAGAGAACATGCTTCAACAAAAAGAGAGTGTAAACCAAGAAGGAATATGAGATGAATCCAGGAAAAAGGGCGATCAACAGGGAAGACTGACAAAAGGAAATCCCAGGGCACTGGTGCACCAGGCTTAGTAAGCAATGGGTCCAAATGAGCAAAAGACAATGGGCAGAGTCTCCAGGGAAAAGATGGAACCGATCACTGAGGACTGAATATTTAGAAGAACAATTGCTACATGATTGGTACATTTGGAAAAAAATAGCTCTAGGTACATTGAAAATTAAGCAATTGGAAAAAGAAATTAACTCCAGGTGAAACCAATTTGTAAGAGACAGAAAATCTAATAGGTTACAGCTTGAATGCACAGTGTTTATTTGGCCAATAATGTAAACATTAACTATTGATTTAACTATAAATTGTGGGAAACTATAGTATTGTGAGGACAAGGGAGTAAAAATAGGGGTTAGAGTGGTGCAAGAGCTAATTCCTCAACTGCCAGAATATACATAATCTCTAATATTGACAAATCCAATAATAGTAATGTACTAGTTTGCTAGGCTCCCATTACAAAGTACCACCACAGACTGGCTTAAACAGCAGAAACCTCTCTCTCTTCTGGAGGCTCTGATCGAGGTGTTCGAGGTCAAGTGTTACAGGGTTGTTTTCTTCTGTGGCCTCTCTCCTTGGCTTGTAGATGGCTGACTTCTGTTGTCTTCCCACGATCTTCCCTCTGTGTGTCTGTGCCCTAATCTATATACATAAAAGCATAATATGCAAAGTGTCCCCTCGGGAGTTCAACTGACTGGGAGTTCGATCGCTCGCTATGATGTGCGCTGACCACCAGGGGGCAGCGCGGAACAAAGGGAGGCCCCGGCCAGTGGCCAGCAGCTGCGAGGGACCCTACCCATGCATGAATTTCGTGCACTGGGCCTCTAGTATTTTATAAGGACACAAGTTATATTGGATTAGGATCCACCCTAATGACCTCATTTTAACTTAATTACCTCTTTAAAGACCCCTGTCTCCAAACACAGTCACATTCTGAGGTACTGAATGCTAGGGGACGAAGGGGACACAACTGAACACATACCAAATAGTATAAACTCATTATTTGGGATTATAGAAGTAGAAGAAATAGCTAACAGAGTTGAAAGTGGCTGCCTCTGGAGTGAGACTGGAGGATAGCAAGGAATAAGGTAGGTACTATTGATGTTTTACTATCAATAGTGGGGAGCTGGACCTTGAACCTGGTCTGATGTCAAATCTGATGTTCTTCACTCTACCACAAGATTTGGAGTTCCTCAAGGGCCCTTGCTGTGCCATCTTCATCTCTGCATCTCCCACAGCACCTTGCATGGTGCCAATGTGATGGGCCAGCGGTTCTCAACCTGTGGGTCGCGACCCCTTTGGGGGGTCGAACGACCCTTTCACAGGGGTCGCCTAAGACCATCCTGCATATCAGATATTTACATTACGATTCATAACAGTAGCAACATTACATTTATGAAGTAGCAACGAAAATAATTTTATGGTTGGGTCACAACATGAGGAACTGTATTTAAAGGGCCAGAAGGTTGAGAACCACTGTGATGGGCCGTCACTACATATTCACTGATTTAGAGCTATATCACTGTGATCTCCCATGCTGCCATTTGTTTGTTTTCTGTCTTAAAAAAGAAGACGGGGAAGACTGAGATGCAAGGAAACCTTGAGTGGCCGTAAGATCCCCCCGAAAGTTCCCTGCCCCTGGTGTCCTAGAATTCCTGGGTGCATCTGCAGTAGCACTTTGAGTTTTGATTCTAGAATGGGTCCATCCACAGCAGGGCAGGGACACCAGGTGCTTTCCTGCCTGATTAAGCTAAAGGTGATGTATCAACCCCTCCTCCCTGGGGTCCAGAACAGCCACTCATCCCCTTTCCTTGAGGCCAGTTTGGCTGTTGAAGATGGCCGTGGGCTCTGAGAGTTATTCTCGGACATAGGGCTGTAATATTCCCAGTGATTGATGCATGATCCCATGAAGGGTTTTGGTCATTTCTGTGTTTAGGTTGATCCACAGCTATTCATCTGGCTGCCGAGGCTGACAGGATCCGTGGTTGTCTCTGTCCTGGAGGCTACGTGACGCCCCTTCCTGGGAGCCCATATCCAGTGTCCTCTGGGGAGGAGCGGAGGTTGGTGTGTATGTCTGTCTGTCTCAGCATGCTCCAGCTTATTGCTTCCTAATAAAATCCTGATAGCCGGGCCCCATCAATATCTCAAATACATGTGAGGAAACGTTAATTTAGAATCAATTTTAGGATGTTTCAGACTGTAAAGTCCTTTTAACTAGATCTCTGGCAAAGATGTAGAAGCACTTTATGGGACTGTAAATTTCATGTTGAACCGTCTTCGTGAAATACCCATCTCCCCTACACACAAGCTGTTCTCTCCATATCAATCATGGCCACTGCAAGTAATGTTTCACAAATATTCTGTAAATCACAGAAAACCCCATGATAATGTGAAATATGACTTTCACTTGTCTGTTAGACAAAAGAATCACACATGCCTCTCTCCCATCAGCACTAACATTTGTTATGGATAATAACACTTTCAATCACAACTATTTTTGGAAAACGGGTTTATTTTAAACCTTCCCTCCCCCGCACTGAAAACACTCTCCCAAGGACACAGGCTCCTACAAACCACAGCCCATTAATCCAGCTATGGAATGGGAACTTTTTCTTCCCACTAACTTTTTTTAAAGTTGTTTTTTAAAACTGGCTGGATGGCTCAGTTGGTTGGAAAGGTTGCAGGTTCGATCCCCAGTTGGGGCATTTACCGGGAGGCAATCGATAGATGTTTCTCTCTCACATCAATGTTTCTCTCTCTCTCTCCCTTTCTCTCTCTCTAAAATCAATAAACACAGGCTAGCCGGAGTGGCTGGGTTGGAACATCGTCCCGTGCACCAAAAGGTGGCGAGTTTGATCCCCGTTGGGGCACCTTTGGAAGACAATCGATGTTTCTCTCCCTTCCTCTCTCTAAGCATATCCTCAGGTGAGGATTTTAAAAATAAAATAAATAAAAACATATCCTCAGGTGAGGATTTTTTTTTAAGTTGTTTTTAAGAGAATTAGTACGAAAGCCCAAGGTACAAGGTTACGGAGTATTTAAGAGGGGGACAGGCCTCTAACGTCCCTAAATCTCTGACCCTGTGTGAAGTGACGGGTAGGACAGGCCCAGGTTTTTATCAGGCACCTTCGTCTCAGCTGGAGCCTGTGGTCCTTTTAGTTGCTGGCATCCGCAAAGAGGCCAAAGAGCTAAAATTGTAGCCCTTCGATTTGAGGCCGGCATTTACCTTGATATTTGTAATTGCGTTACAACGCAGCTAGAGCTTCCCTGTTCGAGCAGCAGGTGACCAGTCGTAGAGGTGTACTGAATCTCACTGTATCCATGCAAGTGACAGGCTCACCTGTTTCCGGTTGGTTGCCTGAAGAGCGAAGCCCCTGAGTAACCTGCAGGACTCGCCTGGTTCTGAACACTCTGGTAACCTGTCTGTTTTCCTTCCCTCTGTAGCCAATCTCAGGACCGATTGACCATGACTTCTATAAAGGAGCAGGCAGCAATTAGCCGGCTCTTGAGCTTTTTACAGGATTGGGACAATGCTGGAAAAGTCGCAAGAAGTCACATCCTTGACAATTTCATTGAAAACAACCAAGGCAAGACTGCCTCTGAGCTGGAGCAGGAGTTTTCCCTGGGAGCCAGCTTGTTCCTGGTACGCTTGACCACCTGGCTTAGACTCACGTATCCTTTCCTGAACAGAAGAGAGAGAAAAAACAAAACAAAATAGGCCATCTTCAAAAGGAAAAAAGGAGGCGCGATTATTGAGGGAGCTCTTTTCTCCATTCTAAGATTTTAGAACCGGACATCTGGTGGTCAAATATCCTCCAAAAATCAAGAACTCTCTCAATTTCTTGTCTTTCCAACCTATAAATATATCCTCATCTCACTCCTAACCTCTTTCGTGCCCATCAGAGTTAGTCGGTATTCCTTCCGTCTAGCACTAATCCTCTATTAGTATTGCACTTGAATCCCTTCCTATCTCCTTAGGGACTTTATTCTTTCTCTGCTATGGTTTCCACCTTTGCCTCATCACCAAATTCATTCTGATTTTTATTGATTTCAGAGAGGAAGGGAGAGGGAGAGAGAGATAGAAACATCAATGATGAGAGAGAATCATTGATCAGCTGCCTTCTGCATGCCCCCTACTGGGGATTGAGCCCACAACCTGCGCGTGTGCCCACGACCATAATTGAATCCAGGACCCTTCAGTCTACAGGCCAATGCTCTATCTACTGAGCCAAACCAGCTAGAGCTCAAACCCCTTTTTTAACCTTGAACTTCCAGAATATATGAGTGAAACTAAGGATTTGTATATTACAATGACAGAACTATTAGTTGCCATTTATTGAGTCTTTTTCTAGGCACTAAGTTATGTACTGTACAAATATTATCACATTTGAACCTAACACCAAGCCTATTAAGTGATTGGTATTATCCCATTTTATAGATAAGAAAGATGAACCTTTAAAAGGTTGAGTAATTTACTGGTAAGTGGCAGAGATAAGGTTTGACAGGTCTGTCTGGCCCAAAGCCCACATGCCATCCACTCGACTTCAGTGTCTCCCACCCCGTGGACAGTGCAGAGCCTCAGTTCCACCTCTAACACTAAACAAGGAGCTAATCTAGCCCCACTCCCTCCACCTGCCTAAGGCAGGGAGACCCGACTGTAAGAACTCAGACTCTGAGCGAGACTGCCTAGGTCAGTGATGGCGAACCTATGACACGCGTGTCAGAGATGACACGCGAACTCATTTTTTTGGTTAATTTTTCTTTGTTAAATGGCATTTAAATATGTAAAATAAATATCAAAAATATAAGTCTTTGTTTTACTATGGTTGCAAATATCAAAAAATTTCTATATGTGACACGGCACCAGAGTTAAGTTAGGGTTTTTCAAAATGCTGACACGCCGAGCTCAAAAGGTTCGCCATCACTGGCCTAGGTTCATATCCCGGTTCCATCAGTTAGCATTGAGACCTCGGGCCAGTCATTGGCCTGTCTGAGATTGTTTGCTCATGAAGTGAGTGGAAATACCACCTGGCCAGCGTGGCTCAGTGGTTGAGCGTCGACCTATGAACCAGGAGGTCACGGTTCAATTACTGGTCAGGGCACATGCCTGGGTTGCGGGCTCCATCCCCAGTGTGGGGCATGCAGGAGGCAGCTGATCAATGATTCTCGTCATTGATGTTTCTATGTCTCCCTCTCCCTCTCCCTCTCTGAAATCAATAAAAATATATTTTAAAAAAAGAAAGAAATACTAATAGCACCCACGGCAGGGTGCGGTGAGCATCCAATGAGACCATGCAAGCAACGTCACTAGCACAGTGCCTGGCACACAACAGATGCTTGGCATTTGTTAGCTACCGCTGGTATTGTGGCAGACTTCTGGAACTAATTGCTGAAATAATGGACCGAGAATGCCTGTGAGTGGCTGTGAACACAGGACTTGCCTGGGACAGAGGAAACAGGAGGTGATGAAAGTTGGCCAGCCTAGCTGGTAACTGAAGAAAAGAGGGAAAATGCACTGAGGCAGGAATGGGGGCTGGGGTTCAGGGGAGCAGGGGGCAGACAAGGTAGGAATGGAGGGACTACCGTGTGAGCTGATAGGCAGGCCCCCAGCTATAGCGGCAACAGGCAAGAGCAAACACTTTCTGTAGTAAAGAGCCTTTCCTAATGAGCCAATCTGTCTCTGCGTCTATTGGCATCCTGGGATCCAGGGCGCGGCAGAGATAATTTGCCTCACGCACCCTCCCCCCCAACAAAGCACCATTACCTCCAACCCGTGACATTAGCCTGTATCAGTCCTGGAAGCTCTCAGTTATCCTCCATGAGCTGCAATAATTTCAGCTAATTTCTTAAGTGTTCTAAGAGCCTGTGATGTGTGATGAGCCTAGTAATTGTTGACTGGTTCCTTTTCTGTTGTGGTTTGATTTCATACCTTGTATCCAAGCTGATGCGTGCTCTGGGTGCTTTATTACAATGAAGCTTTTTGCAAAGGCTCACATTAAAAATAACATTAAATACCGAGATTGTTTTAAATCAGAGTTTAATTTTTCCGCTCTCTCCTGTTGTTCTTATTAGGACGACATGCAATTCTTCATAAAGATAGTGACCTCCAGGGTAAAGCTCTGAGCAAGTACAAAATTGGGAATTAATGATGAAGCTGATTGTTTTCAGAGAAGTCTACAAGTGAGGCGCAAAGTAATGAACCCTGCTGAGACCCAAGGGTGCGGTGGTGGCGGCAGAGAGGCTTTCCCCAGGCAGCCTTTGTTCCTCAGAGCCTCCGTGCTCCCTAGAGAGCCTGTCAGAGCCACGGTGGCTGAACCGTCCCAGGAGAGCTTCCTGGAGAACCATGAACGTGCCTGCCAGCACCCCCGCTCCCTACCCCACGTGTGTCGCCCCTTCTTCAGCCTAGTGGCCCTTCTCAGATAAAAGGTCATCCTGGGTCACCCTGGGTATTGATGGTGCCAGTGATCAGACACCAGGTCTGGCTTCTGTGTGGGAAACCACCCTGCAATTCACTCTTTAACTTGTCATTCAGCTATATGACCGGCTCAAGCTTAGAGAAGGTTTTAAAGTCCATTGGCATCTTCTTAACATCTGTAAACAGGTAAGCTCTGTTCTGGAGAGATGCTGGGTTCTCAGTTGCATATCGGGCTCATGGTGTCCTTGGCATCCGCACCACACGGGTACCTCGTAGCCCCCAGGATGGACCCAGGGGTAGTGCCAACTGTGCTGCTGTTCTAGTTGCTCCCCCATCCCATGTTCTCCATTGGCCCTTTACTAGTCAGCATCCCCTTGGTCGTGAAAACAGAAAACCAAACACAAGAAATGTCCATTGAATTGAACTTGCTAAATGCAAAAGGAAGCATTTCCCAACTATTGTGTCACTTTACCCATGAGCATTTCCTGGATAGGAGGGCAACATATGTGAAGAAAGGACCTTAGAAAGGTTAGGGCCAAGGAGCTTGACGAGTGTCTTATTTCTACTCTTCTGTCCCTCTGGACAGTAACCGGTACCTTATAGAATTTCTTGAGGTTGGAGGCGCCCTAACACTCTTGGAAACACTGGGGATGGAGAAGATCAAAGAGGAGGACAAGAAGGAATCCATCAAGCTACTTCAGGTTATTGCAAACGCTGGCAGGAAGTACAAGGAGCTCATTTGTGAAAGCTACGGTGGGTACTGCGTATGGCAAGGGCGAACTCCTACGTCTGCCTCAGGGCCTGAGTGACGCGGGGGCAGGCCCCGCACCCCCGCAGGAAAGCTGCCGCGGAACCGGCTGCACCGCAAGCACTTTGTCCAGAGGACTCCGTTAGCTCCCACGCATATCGCCACCCCCAGACCCAGATTTATGATTTTCCTGATTCATCATCTGCTCAAATCTTTCTGCTGTGGTTTTGGAAACACTTTTTCCATTTTAAATATGTCCTTTTACATGCATCTATTCAACAAAGACTTATTGAGCCATTGCCTAAAATCCTTTGTGAAACCGAGTTATGAATAACTCTAGAAATAAAATTGAAATAAAATCATTGAATATGAGTGCTAGGTATATGCTAAGGTGCTGGGAACACGAAGATGAATAAAATACAGTCCCTGCCAAAGAGCTCACAGTGTGGTGAGAAAGGTATATAATCCGGGATTTTCAGTATGATCCATCAGGTGCTCTGACAAGGCGAGTAAAGGAGATGCCGTCCCCTAAGCATCCCTTTGTCAAAGCATTTCCTTCATTGCACTCTGTTGTTGTTGTTGTTGTTGTTAAACCTCACCTGAGGATATTTTTCCACTGATTTTTTTTTTAGGGAGAATGTGAGAGAGAGGGAAAGACAGAGAAAAACATCGATGTGTGCACATCGATTGGTTGCCTCCTGCACGAGCCCTGACCAGGGCCTGGGCCAGGGAGGAGCCTGCAACCAAGGAATCAAACCCGGGACCCTTTGGTCCACAAGCCTACGCTCTATCCACTGAGCCAAACCAGCTAGAGCCCTCGTTGCACTTTAATCATAGTTCTCTGTGTGTCCCCCATGGCCTCTCTGAGCCTTAGGGTATTTATCCATAAAATGGAACTAACACCGCCCTCTCAATATCGTTTCTAGGATTAAATGACATAGTATTTGTGAAAATATTTTGTAAATTGCTGAGCACTAAGTATATGTTTTTATTTGGGCATTTTGCAGAGCCATTTTAAATTTAGAACACTTTGATGAGCTGAGATGCCTATACTGAAACCAGCCACATAGCCAGAAGTGAACAAGACAATGATGCAACATGAGGCTAAGCCTCAACTTTGCTCTGATTGAACGGGCTTGGTTAAATACATCTTAATCCTATTACCTCAGGTTGTGTAATCTTTTTTAAAATAGAATTTATTGGGGTACAGGTTTCAAGTGTACAGGTCAATAAAACACCATCTGCACACTCCATCGTGTGCCCCTCGTCCCAAGCAAAGTCTCTGTCCCTCCCCATTTTCCCCACCATTGCCCACCTCCAGCTACCCTCCACCCCCCTTTCCCTCTGGCTGTCACCACACTGTTGTCTATGTCTGTGTGTTATACATATGTTTCTTTGCTTAATCCCTTCACCTTCTTTCATCCAATGTTATGTAATCTTGAGTGAGGATTGTGTTCACAAATCCCTTCCAATTTAGCATTTCCTCTCCTTTTTGCTCAGGTGTACGATCCATAGCAGAATTTTTGGCCAAGTCTAAGTCAGAAGAGACCCAGGAGGAAGTGCAGGTTCTGCTGGATTCTTTGGTCCACGGTAATCCCAAGTACCAGAATCAAGTGTACAAAGGTCTGATAACGCTACTGCCCTCTGTGTCCCCGAAAGCTCAGCAGCTGGCCCTGCAGACGCTCAGGAGCGCCCAGGTGAGCCCAGGCTGCAGGCTCCCGCGGTTCTGACTCACACGCCGTGACCTTACCGTTACCTTCCACAGTCGCACTCCACGCAGGCATGCGAAACGGAGCTCAGCCCGCCACTGCACGGGTGCTGTTCAATCAGCATTACTTCTAGAAGGCCAAGGCCGGGCGGAGAGTTCACGCCTCCCGTCAGAGTGATTTGTCCTGTTTACTTAAGGATCAGAAAGATGTTGGCAGGCTTAAAAGTGTTTGAGACAAGCCACAAGGATGATGAAAGGGCTGTAGGAAAGATTAGAGGAGTCAGTTTGATAGGAAGGAATCTCGGTGCATTTGTAGATAGTGTGTCAGTGAAGAGACCAGATCTCGGGTGCTTGGGGAGACTCCTTTATTGCTTGGCCTCTGCCTTCCTCTCAGACAGTGCCCTGGAATTGGGGCATGGTGACCACGGGAAGACACCCTGCCTCGAAGGAGGGAATTGGAGACTCAAAGAATAGTTTTGAGATGAGCCGTCAGAAGCTCTCAAAACAGCTCTAGAATGGGCAGGAGGCAGGGGAACAATTAAGGGGTCAAAGAGATGGTAAGGCCTGAACTGTGCCAGTGGGAATACAGGTGACCAGGTTGCACAGACATTTTGGAGGCAGAACGCGTGGGACTTGGGGCAGTAAAAGGAAAGGCGTCAAAGATGACACCCCGCTTTGAACTTACACAGCAAGGGAATTGTGTGCCACCTGGAGAGTGGGGAAACCTATTTCGTTTGAAAAGAGTTCGGTTTTGACTCGATAAATGTGATGAGCTTTGGTGGCTCCATCTGAGGAGCAGGCCAAGCTGGTTACAGAAGACATAGATAGGTCACTTGTTTAAAAGATACTTAATCCCAAGCCTCCCTCCCATATAATCTGACAGCTCTCAGGCGGCCTTTAAAAATATATTTTATTGATTTTTTTACAGAGAGGAAGGGAGAGGAATAGAGAGTTAGAAACATTGGATGAGAGAGAAACATTGATCAGCTGCCTCCTGCACACCCCCCACGGGGGATGTGCCCGCAACCAAGGCACATGCCCTTGACCGGAATCGAACCCAGGCCCCTTCAGTCCGCAGGCCGATGCTCTATCCACTGAGCCAAACCAGTTAGGGCTCTGAGGCAGCCTTTAATAAAACTTTTTCTTAGTAAACTCCCCAAGTAATTCTGATTCCTAGCTCAATTGAGGAATCTAGAAGAAATGCCCATTGGACAGTAGAAAATAAAAGGCTGAAGCTGCAGAGGGATATCCAAGGTGAGGATAGTAGTTTGAATTTCATGAGCAGAGAAGTGATAACAAACCATGGAAGTAAGTAAGGTCACCAGGTAAAATGTAAAAAGTGAGAAGAGAGCCCTGGCTGGTGTGGCTCAGGTGGTTGGAACATCATCCAGTACACGGGAAGGTTGTGGATTCCCTTCCCAGTCAGGGCACAGGGGCATGTACGGGAGGGCAACCGATCGATGTTTCTCTCTCACATTGATGTTTCTCTTCCTCTCTCTCTCTTCTCTCTCTCTCTTCCATTATTAAGTGCCTCCTACATGCCAGGCACTGTGTTAGGAGCCCACATAGACTATCTCTTTTTGTCTTCATAATAGCTGATGGAGGCCGATAGTATTATCCCCATTTGAAAATATGTTTTTATTGCCCAGGCCAG